AAGGGATGACATCATGTCATCAGGTCTATAAAGAGCTTCATTGCCTTGGAAGACATTACTTCCAACCAGACACAGGGATCGCTGGCTGGGAATGGCAGAAGTTGCAGGACAACACTTTTGGCTGGGGAGTATGGGTACTGTGAGCCCAAAACATCTAGAAAGCTCCTGTTTGGAGAAGGCTACTTTAAGAGAAAAGGAACAGAAAAAAAATTACAACGGACATGGTTTCCTTTTTCAGCATATGAGTAAGCTTTTTTAAGCTTCCTTTTTTCTAAACTGTAGAAAGAGGCTACTCAACCAGCACTGCATCTTATGACAAAAAGCAAGGATAGATGCTAGCCTAAATCTCAGAATTTAAGTCCACATTCTGAACAATCTTGTTTCACAGAAGCAAGTACACGTGGGCCGAAAACCAGAAAGTTAGCAAAGGAATGAGACTGCCCTCAATATGTACCTTGTGGCCACTCCTGATAATGGAGTCAGGTGCAATTGTTTCTTCAGACCACTCTCTCCCTGCACATGGCCTACAGTATAACATCATGTCATGCTTGTTGGGGTTAGACTTTACAAAGGAAAGACATGGAACAAGGTTGGAAGCCATCGCCTTCCCTATGGGCCAGGTGGTGGAAAAGCAACTAAGGGTTTTAGGAAGTATATTGAATTCGTTGTGTAATAAACAAACTAACTAATAAACAAACCTAACAAAGCATGGGGGACAACAGAAAGTCTATGGAACCCAGTGGCTGACTCCACAGCATGCACTAGGCTAAAATGTGGTTAGCTAGTTGTGATTCATTGTAGTATGTTATATGGATTCAGACAATATGACTAGTATATAGCTCAATATGCTGAGTGATCCCAGGCAACTTCACTAGTATTTTAGCCCTAATAAGATCTAGTTTGGCTCTGAGTTAAAAGCTAAAAGAAATCCTTCCTATAAACCATCTCCAGCAATCATGGAGATCATGTACAAGCAGTCTGTTTAAATACCAAAAGTATTTATTTAGATCAGCTTTTCCAGGCCTAGGAATTTGAGCTCAAGCTGGGCTGTTGAGAGACCGAAAGGTTACAGAAAGCTGAGTTAGAGAACGATCAAGATAAAGAAGCTCTTGAGCTGCATTCAATTCCTGATAACAATGATGAATCAATTTAGAAATGGCCTATGAACTATATATCATAGGCTCTGATCACCACAGCTAATAGATTTTAGTCTAATCTATTATAGATACCCAGCCCATGTGGTTAATGTAGAATTCTGCAATCATGCAAACTCAAAATAAATGAGTTAATTGAATAAACTATGGATTAGTTAATGATGGGTAAGCAAGCCTGAGAGAAGATTCTGGTGGTGGAGTCTTTCCTCCCTGGCATTTCCAACTCCTTGTTGCAGCTTGTCTCTTTTGACAACTGATCCTCCTTTAGATAAACTCTTTCAACTGGAATGGATTGCTTTACAGATGGTGATAACTGAACAAGATCAAATGCTCAGCTCCAGCACCGTTCTCAGGCTGAGCTGCCATGCAGAAAATCCTGGCCCCCTCCTGCAACAAGGGAGGCTGCTTGTTCCTACAACAGAACAGAAAGGATTAGCAGAAAAGGGAGGGCGTCTCTTGAAAGTAATCCAGCATCTTGCATTCCGAGAGCATGCAGGTGCCTTCGCAAGCCATCAGCCAAACTACCTTTTGCCCTGTTCACTTAGAGAATATGATTCTATGGGTGCATTGCAAAGCAGCTAACAACTTCATGAATAACAACAGAGATGAAATTCTGAAACTGACTCATGTTATTTGTCTGGGGAGAATGAGGGAGCAAGGCTCCAAGAAATGAATGCCACAGAATTGCCAGGGCTCTAATGCAGCATTGCTATAGAAGTGGACCATAAGGTGCATAAAGCATGGAAAACTTTCAAGTTCAGATATGACATGTCCCCCAAATGAGTTGTCCTTTTTTCTTTCTTCCACTTCCTTCCCAGCTCTCTCTCACCCCCTCCCTTTGTTGCTCTCCATTGTGCTTACTCTTTAGTTTTTATCATCAGGCTGTATCAGCACCTTTTCTTTTCCTCTAATATTTTAACAAAGCCGGAGAACATTGCAAAATGAAGTTGCAGTAACTTCTAGCATCTTGATTCCTCCAGTGGCCCCCATGCCAGTGTTTTTTAAACTTTTCAAGACCATGCAATCTATGCATGATAAACATGTTTTAATTATGCTCCTTGTTTTAGCCTATATTTAATGTATGGATTATATACATTAATGGGATATATAAATTTGCACTCATTTGGAGTGAGCACTGAGAAAATGCTGCAGAGCATCTGCATCTTTATACATTCCAAAAATTAAATTTAATTTAATCATTAGGAAAAGACAAAGAGGCTGTATTGGTGCTATTGCTCATTTGAAAAGCAAAGGAAAATAATAAGAGTTCCAGGAAAAAGAGAAAGAATGCCAAGAAGGAGAAACAAGGAGGTAAAGAAACTGGTGAGTATATAATGTGGTCAGCAATTCAAATGGATATCCCAGGGTATCTTGCCTAGGAGTGACTAGGCAATAGGTTTCCATGGCAGCTATCTGGTTCACCCTTTTGGCCAAAGAGATTCAATACCATTAAATGAAAACTATCTACACCCACAAGGTGATGTGTACAGACCTTCTTCACAACTTGTTTGTTCATTCATTTCTTCAAGGTAACGCTGACCTCATCTCCAGCTCCTTCTGGGCCTCTATGCTCTTGCATAAAAAAGATGAAACATGAGAGATTTCCTGGCACCATTCTCTTTGATTAAAAGGAGCAGTGCCTGGGCACAAATTTGTTGCAATTGGAGGAGTCATATTCATAATCATGCCCATAAATCTGCTATAACCTGCTATGAAGGAAGAGTACAGGTATCAACAGCTACATAATCGTAGTCAGGCTGGAGAGGAATGATAAGTGTTGCAGTTAAATTCTTCTGGAGAGTAGAAGGATGAGACATTTTATCTTCCATCCCTAAACCCTTCATTACTTGGCAGTCAATATTTACTGAAACAGCCTTCTAGAGTCTGATGCCTACACATATAATGGACCAATACCCATAATCTCCTCAGTCATCATTATTAGAAGCGGCTACTGCTGTTATCATCACTATATTCCTGTAGAATTTTCACAGTACATAAATTCCCTAATAAGAAATCCTAAAATACAGTATTAAGTTATTAAAAGATAAAGTAACAGCAATGGGCCTCTAACAGAATGACAATAATAGCAAAACTAGCAAGTTTAAAATCATCTAAATACTGACTCAGATACGGTTTTAAGAGGTTTTTCCTAAAGGCCAACAGATGTCATTAATTTCTCCGAAGAGAGCATTTCTTCTCTAAACCAGACCAGACCCTGCCCATAGTTTTCACAAACTATTTTCTGTGGTAGACAAGAGTGCAGGATCTCAGACAGCCATTGCAGAACTTCAACAGAGATATTTAGGTGTAGGCATGACAGTCAAATAAGACTTTAAGTATTCCTTATAATTAAAATCTGAAAGCTTGTTGATCACTAGGCATCCACTTCCATCTTGAAAAGAATTCAAAAACTAGAAAGCTTTTAACACATTCACACACAACACAAACACACACACATTACATAAGGTCTAGTTATAATATATTGTTTATGGAGCAAGGTCTTTCCGCAAGATTTCGTAAAAATCTTTTATTTCAAAGAAATAGGCAGCTTCCTTATATTAATCAGCTGTATTAATCTGTATCACTCGTTCCTCTCCCTTTGTAAACTTTTCAGCCTTACCAAACTAGCTGTTGTTTTTTTTTAAAAAAAATAACATATATCCACACACAAACTGTTTAAACAACCTTCTTTCTCCATAATCCCACATATTACCCTGAAACTGATACTGTTGGTACACATTCGTGTGTCCTAGCAATAGGGAGGAATCAACAGGGAAAAGTTTACTAATGAAGCTGCAGACAGAACAGTGTGCAAAAAAGCAATGACAATAGCAGGAGCTCAGTTTCAAATGCACTTTCTTTTAAGAAATGCAGATTGAGATAGAAATTATCAGTTTAAAAAAAGGCAAACAAGCATCAAGATGAAACAGGATTCAAGATGAGCAGGAACTTCAGCACTGAGGCTTCTGAGACCAAATCCTTCAACTGAAGTATGGGAAGAACCATTAAAAAAAAGAGAGAGGGGAATTCAGCTTCTTAATGTTCTTTCAGAAGGAAAAGTAGCCTTTTCTGATCTAATACTATTCAATTTTTGACCAAATGTTTCTGACCAAACGTTTTCTGACCAAATGCTATTGTATCGATGAAGCAAAGTTGGATCACCACATTATCTGTCTGCATTTGGGGCAAATTTCTGAGGGAGCCAATTTTGTAAGCATCCCATATCAAACGATCTCCAGATCAGATTTACAGAAAGAATGGGATTTGTTTTCTAAAATGTATGATGTGTCTGAAGAATCTTTGCCAACATTGTGTCGTGTATACCAGCGCATCCATAGAAATAGCACTTCAATGAATCAGAATAGAGCTGGAAGGGACCTTGGAGGTCTTCTAGTCCACCCCCCTGCTCAAGCAGGAATCCCTGTATCATTTCAGACAAGTGGTTGTCCAGTCTCTCCTTAAAAACCTCAAGTGATGAAGCACGCACAATGTCTGAAGGCAAGCTGTTCCACTGGTTAATTGTCCTCACTGTTAGGAAGTTTCTCCTTAATTCCAGGTTGCTTCTCTCCTTGATTAGTTTCCATCTGTTCTTTCTTGTCTTGCCTTCTGGTGCTCTGGAAAATAAATTGACCCCCTCCTCCTTGTGGAAGCCTCTCAAATACTGGACTACTGCTATCATGCCCCCACTAGTCCTTCTTTTCACTAGACTGGCCATTCCCAAATCCTGCAACTGTTCGTCATATGTTTTAAACTTATATACCACTTCACAGTGCTTTACAGCCCTCTCTAAGCGGTTTACAGAGTCAGCATATTGCCCCAAACAATCTGGGTCCTCATTTTACCGACCTCGGAAGGATGGGAGGCTGAGTCAATGTTGAGCCGGTGAGATTCAAACTGCCGAACCGCTGCCAGCCAGGAGTCAGCAGAAGTAGCCTGCAAGTACTGCATTCTAACCACTGCACCACCAGGGATCTTCAAGCTCTTTGAAGAGTAGAATTTTCTTCAGCCTTCTCAGAATTGTCTATGTGATCAAGTAAAGTTTTGAGATCACAAGATCAATCCAGAAAGTATGCAGAAAGAGACTTCTTTTCTCCAGAAAACTGACAGTTTTCTAACCATACTGAACTTTTTAAAAGTTAAAGAAGGATGAAAAGATCCCTTGGCTTCTTTATGCTTTACAATATTAAATGAAATCTGTCTCATCATGGATCTTTCCCCAAGGAAAGAAGACATTAATACCCAAAGTTTGTTCTTGATAGGTTCCATAATATAATTTTTTTTAATCTGCTCATTGTAGAGGCATAACTATTTCTTCGGGTATGTACTCAGTAATCTAAATATAATATGTTCAAGAGTCAAACTGAATATTATTGAAGGCTACACATCAAGAACAGAACTACGTATTTAATTATTTGCATATCTCCCTTAGATATATTTATGAATCCAAATCTTCCCTGCAAAGCTGCTGTAACTCACACAAGGGGAAAATTACAAGTTAAAGCGCATAAGAGGCAGATTCAAATCACGGGATTGGTACAGCATCCTTAGAAATAAAAAAATTCCCTCTTATTAATAGCTAATTGAGCATTTTTTATGGAAAGTGGTATCAAATAGTTTAACACAAGCACAATAAATGGATGTACGATCTACTGTTACAGAAATACAATGCATTTGCTATGGGCCAAGCAATATTTCAAGAGTCTTGGATTTTGTAAGTGACATCTTCAAATCGTCAAAATGTTAACAAATATTTCTCCCTGCTCTGCTGTAAGGAATAACAGCAAGAGGCACTATATAACAAGATGGTTGAATACATCCTCATATATAAAGAACTTTGAAAAGTTGCCTTTATGTTCAATTTACATATAATTCAGCCATTTCGGCAAACTTCTGCATTGTTGATGCTTCTCTTTATATCCGAGAATGATGAAAAACACTTTGTTAGCAAATGTGGATTCTCAGAAGCTACTATAAGCTCAAGATACATATTGCTGTGCTTCACACTTTTTGTACTTATTGCATCAAAGTTCTTGACTGGAAGTGAAAATGCTGAACTGTCAAAAGCTATTTAGTGATGTTTGTCCTTGAGACAGGGGAAGTACTATAAAAAGGCGCTGTATGCCAGGTTGACAGTCTTCCAACTGTTGTTGGATTTCAAATCCCATAAACGCCATCTAGCCAACCCATAGGAGTTGTAGTCTGAAATATTTGAAGTTTCCACCTTGGGGAAGGTTGGTTTACTGTCAGGCACATCTCTCCGGGACTGTCAAAACTGGTGATAGTAGGGGCATCATTGACATTAGTAATCCAGCATTGAGTTCTAGAATTCCCTCATGCTCTAAAAAGCAATTAATCTAAACTAATTTATAGATACATTTACAAATGTAAATCCCTTTGTAATCTCCAAAGAGAACCGACACCAAAACAAAGCTGGCATATTTTGGAGAAACTCTCTCTTTAGAACTAGTCAGCCAATACTGGTTGCATTTGGAAAAGAGAACACCATAGACTCATGACATTTTGTAATATTCGGTTGGCTTTGTTTTAGTTGTTAAAGTTTCTTCACTTGTTTGTCTGTTAGACTTCTTAGAGGCTTTCAGTACCATTAACCATGGTATTCTTCTGCTAAGGTTGCCTGAGTTAAAGGTGGATAAAACTATTTTGCAGTAATTCCATTCAGACTTGGATAATTGTCTTCAGGTGGTAATGGAGGAGGATTTCTGGTCAACCTTGTGGCATTTATATTATGGGGGGGGTTCATTAATTTTCACTTGAATTCCTGCAACTGTCTAAAATGAAGCTGCTGGTGGAGATCATTTGGATATTTGCAGTGAAGTGTCATGAACAGAACATTCAGATTCAGCCATAGTTTCATTCCATACAGCATTAACCTTGTGAACTCTCAAACTTCCTCCTTCCGTTATATACTCAAGATGGACAGTATTTAATATTTATTTGCTATGTATATGTAGGGGTGTGGGTCTATACATATGTTGTACATAGTATGTTTTAGGTGTGTGGCATGTATGTGTTTCACTTTGAGAGCGGGCAACTAAATTTCATTTTTGATGCGTGCCGTTGTGCCCACAGTAAAAAAAATGACAATAAAGGTTATCTTATCTCATCTCATCTCATCTCATTTTATCTTATCAGTATGAGATGGCACACAACTCTGTCTTTTTAATTACACCTAGTAGTGTGTGTATGTGTATATGTTATTAGCAGATGGGTTGACTAGCCAAATAAATGGTGCTCACCCTGTTAGAACTTTGTTACAACTTTGTTCTAAATACTGTTAGGACTTTGCAATCTTACACACGGTCTCTGTACTAAAAGCAAATATGCTTTATTCTTGGAAATATTAATGGAAGATGGGTGCGACTGAAAATAAAGAACCTGCTTTCATCTGGTACTGAAGTCATTAAATGAAAGGCTAACAACTTTTTCAGACTTTGGCAGCCATCATGCATTCTCATACTATGGACCAGGTGCCCCTCCCAAATTATTTGAAATCTCATGAGGTCAACATTGCGTAAACTCTTATATAAGACTGCAGAAGTTACTAAAACATGACTGATTCGTGAGTTTTGGATCATTTTTTAAAATTTTAATTTAATTATTGGGGAATTATGAGCATGGGAATCACAAATGATCTGGCATTCATATATAATACATTGCTAATTAAGGTACAAATAATATTAACGTTAGTGCTATAGTAACTGGTGCTCTTTCCTGAAATGGTCAGACAAACCAACTAAGAATCTAGTGAAAGTCATAAAAAGGGACTTCTGGTTAAGATTCCAGTGTAGGATTGCAATAGCTGAGCTGCAAAAATCTGGATGCCCACAAGATGTTAGTAAAATATTGCAGAACATTTGAACTCTTTCCTGCCATTTAGGGGTTTCATGGGTTTTTGAACCCAAATGCTCAATCTACTCCTTAAAATTATGGTATCATAATATATCTATGAATTAAAACTCCATTAATTCATTAAAATTAATTGTAATCAAGATTAATTAATTTAATTAATTAAGATTAATTAATTAAATTTAAATTGATTAAATGAATTCACGTATGAGTTAAATTTTGACTACAAATTAAATTTATGAGAACTGTAAAAAAAAACATGCTGTAAAGTACTGAAAATACCGATAAGAGTTTGGATTTCAACTTATGTGAAGGTTGAAGGAATCCATAAAGATTTTGGACAAAGGCCTTGCAGTTGCTAAGAAACTTCGGGAGCATTTGCTGGACAGTGTAACTCTGGGAGATTCTTGGCACCTGTAAAACAAAAATAGAACAATTGAACTTGCAAAAATAGCTGTCTGCTCATAATTCTACCTAGGAGATGTACCAATGGGCATAGCCGTGCCTGTTAAAGAAAGAGATAAAAAGAGAAAATCTCTACCTCAAATCATGCAGAGGGTATCATTGGAGAGGCTAATTTATGTGCTCTCACCTTTGTGGGAAGGTAAAATGTGGGGATTGATGGGGCTCCTGTCACAATAGGATGAAAAGGTATATCAGGGTGTATTACACTATCATTGAATTTCATACATAACAAAGATAATTTAAGGTTAAGATGTTGGATTAGGACAAATGGCCAAGGATTAAATCTACTCTCAGCCAAGGAAGCTCCCTGAGTGACCTTGGGTCACTCAGGGAGTCTCTGCCCAAATGGATTTGCGATTATGAGGAAAACTGGAGGAAGTAAGTACCATTCTGAGCTTCTGGACCTGGAGGAAAAGGTCAATATAAATCTCATTTATAAGCAAATAGAAAATATCCAAAAGTAGGTGAAGAATACCCGTTCTTTCTCTGTTGCTTTCTCTCTGGTTTGATAACCATCTTTTCCTCTCGTTCTATTTCTCACAAGCAATAAGCTGTGGAGAATGAAAAAACAGTTCTTACGGGTGGTTTGAATTTTTCAAAAGGCTTTTGAGATCACACCATGGACCTCAGGTAAATCCAGACCCCTAAATCTTATCTGCCTATCTCCATATGTTTCCATTTGTCCAGATATGGCAACTAGAGAGGGCATGCTTCAGGTTCTGTCGATTAAGCAGTGTTGTCTTTGGGATCTAGGAAGCATCATCTTCTCAGTGATGGCTCTGCCTGTGGAATCATGTCCCCTGGAAATTTGTACTACTCTTATCCTTCTGACCTTTTATAAATTGAATGACACCTGGTTGTTCTCCTAGGCCCTGGACTAGAATGAGGAAAGCCCCTTGGTTGCTTGATTAGTTAGTTCCTGGCTGTTTGGCTTTTGGGGTTTCCACTGTCTTCTTTTTTCCTCTTGATATATCTCATTTTAATTTTTATCTATAAGCCACTCAGAGTCACAGTGGAGTTGACAGCCTTTACAGAAATTAATAAATCTATAAAATAAAGTAAAACAAAGCTAATTCAGAATAATTTTAGTCCTTGCTTCTTCTCTTACCTGCAGATTTACATTTTAATTCTTTAACCTCCTATACCGCACCCTTAAGAAAATTTGCTAAACTTTTTACCTTAAATAACATCCAAGAGAAAATCAAATAGAAAATAGATAATTTGGCATGTTTTAATTTAGCTTTGGAAATGCAAGCAGAGGGCAAGAGAAAACTATAGGGAAATACTGTGTTTGTATGAATTATATGATTATATAATTTAATCAACTATAGTAGAACTCTCAGATCTGGGTTGCAAAAATCTGAATCAGTGACAGCAAAGAGATTCAGAAAACTAACTCTGTGCTGTTATCTAATACTAGTCCAGATCTGGGGATTCCAAATATGGCAGTTTTGTATATATAGTGATTCATTTTCTATTTTTTGTAGTGCTCACTTGGTCAGCTGCATTTCTTTTTCTTCACTTATTTGCCATCCCCTTCGGCTTCTTGTAATTAGAGAAGTTTTGATGTGATCCATCAGGGTTCTTCTGATGTTCTTACATGCAGAAACTGTATAAACACATTCAATAATGAAGGGGAAGCATATATGAGGACAATATTTTGGTCAAAGCAAGCAGCAGTAACAAGAAGTCCTTCTCTTGGAGGCAAAAATTCTTCATGTCACAAATGAAGGCGACTATATGTATCCCAGGATAATGTTGCAGGATTCAATCTGGGTCAGTCACTGGGACCAGGAGTTTTGTCTTCTGAGCTTTCAGACTCTTGCTGGAGCCCATTTTCAGGGAACTTCTCTCTAGCAGAACACTAGTGTGCTTCAACTGTTAATAGATAAGTTCACTTTTCAGAGTAGAAGATTAGGGTTCAAGGTTATTTGCATTTGAGTACATGTTACATCTTACGGATACATATAATCTCTAGATCTGTATCCCTG